ACCATCTGGCTCCTTCACAATAAAAACACCAACAGACACATGCATGATGCTTCCAGCTGTAGTCTTAAACAAGTTTAACCTTAGAAATAGACTAAATGATGTTTTGTGATAGAAATATCTTCCTAAACTATTAGATTGTTTTCTTCTCACAACAGAAAACTGTTCATGACCACATTTACCTCTACATGACTGCATTCAGACAGAAGATAAACTTAAAAGCAGTCAAGTTTGCGAACTAAAGCTTCACTAGGAGCCTTTTTGTTTAAAACAAGCTCATTCATCATTGAATGGAGTTCTAATGGGAAGAACAGCCAGTAATACTGATACTTTATGTTTTACTCAAGTAAAACTAAGTATAGGCAGTAAAATTTCCAAAAGTAAATTTTTTTTAAACTCAAGTAAACGTAACTCAACTCTGACATACACTATATGAATTTTTTTTGTTTTTCAGGCCGATTCTCCAGTCGTGCAAAGATTTTTTCACTGGGCCAAGTTTCAGCTGATCGTGAGTCCTGCGTCGTGTAGTATATAGGGGTTAACAAGGGGCGATTAGACTCTCACGACTATCTCCAGATCAGGAATCATAAGGTTGGAGGAAAATCAAGCGTCTGAAATTCAGTCGGCAGACGGGAGGTGGTTGTGGACAAATCCTGCTGTTGAAGCAGAGCTAGGAGCCAATTTACCAAAACCTGGAGCAATGCACTTTTTGACATGCAGTGTGAGCAGGTAGATCACATCAGAGCAATTTTGAGTTGTAGCTGCGTGCAACGATTGAAAATATCGTAAAGTATATGCCCGACTTTATGTAGGTAAACCGCCTCTGGCTTCTTCTGGATGAGGTAAGGCTTACCAGTTGTTCAACTACAAACAAACTACCGTAAACAAAGAAAACTACACTTTGATTCTACACCAGCAATAAAGCCTTTGGAATAAAACAGAGCTGACATTGATGTATCAAAACGTGAAACCTTTATTTCCCCATATCCGTTCCTTTTTTTAATTACAAAATAGCCCAACAGTGAACAGTTAAGTGCACCTTGGAATGCATGTTGGTAAAATGGACCCAGACTCATGTCATAACTGCATTAAATGCTCTTCTGGTGCATTAAGATGGCCGTCAACCAATCAGAACGTGCTCCCTTCCCTCCTGGACTGCAGCCTTATTACTGATAAAACAAAGTGGCCCGCACATTTCCTCTGACGTCCCGCCCCAGTCCGATTCCCCTGCCATTGATGAAGGGCTGCGCTCTACTCCTTCGCCACAGCGAAAGGCTTCTCCACCTCGATTTTGCCGCAGTCGTGGATGGTGACGTCTTTTAGAGGTTTGTCGCGACCGTCTGTTTTTGTGTTCTCAATTTTTGTGACGACATCCTAGCAGAGGGGAGAGAGGTTAAGAGAAAAGTTCAGTTTTGTTTGCCAATTTAATCCCAGTTATTTTCTAAGTATGGAGGCTATGCAGGATTTGTGTCTCCGACACCCACCATGCCCTCCAGAATTTTGCCAAAGACGACGTGTTTGCCATCCAACCAGGGAGTCTGGACGGTGGTGATGAAGAACTGGGAACCGTTGGTGTCTTTGCCGGCGTTGGCCATGCTGAGCCAGCCGGGGCCATAGTGCTTCAGCTTGAAGTTCTCGTCAGGGAAACGGTCTCCATAGATGCTCTTGCCTTCAAACAACAAAACAAATAAACTTTACCTACTTTTCTGGATTTTTAACCATCTAAACAATCGCCCCACTAGGTGCAGTAAAGCAGAGTTCAGCACTTACCTCCAGTCCCATCTCCTCTGGTAAAGTCTCCGCCCTGGATCATGAACTGTTTGATGACTCTGTGGAATTTGCTGCCTTTGTAACCGAAGCCTTTCTGTTTAACCAAAACAAACAGCTTTGTAAACAACCCTGAAAACCTCTGAAATCATCCCTTCAACATGAACATTTAACAAACCGGATCCTGTACACAAAGCCCAACATAACAATGTTTTTAGTCCTTATAAAAGCAAAGTAAGCAGCTTTACTGGATTGCTTACCTCTCCTGTTGCCAGGGCAACAAAGTTGTCCACGGTTTTGGGAACAGTTTTCCCGAAGACGCCGATAACAATCCTTCCCACATCCTCGTCTCCAATTCTGATGTCAAAGTAAACCTACGGGAGAGAGATCCAGCGTTATGTCACTGCAAAAACACTAGGGGGCGCAAAGTCTGAGGCAGCATCAGTGGGGTGGCCTAATGGTTCTCCAAAGGTTTTCTTTGATCAGTGTCTAACAAGCCAATGAGAGTTTTTAGTTCTTTGATCTCATCCACATTTTGACCTCACTTCAACTTTTTTTACTCCAGTTTGGTAACACAAGCCAGAACTTGGGACTGGATCAACCACCTGACCTCCGTTCCAGAATAGCAAGACAAAAGGCATTATTGATAGAAAGCCAGCCTTCCCCTTTGCAGCTTCCCAAGAGCCACGCAGCAAACGGGAATAATACATGGAATAAAACCAACACCGTCCTCATGAGGAAGCATGGCAGTGGCAGCATTATGCTTCTGTGGTGCATGACAACAGGGTGACAAAATTGATCCCCAAAAAAACAGTCATTGTTAAAACTGTCCCAAAAGTTAATTGGAACCGAGACTATAAAACCGTACAAATTTGAACTATTGAGCCAAGTGAAAGTGCTGCAGATGTAATGGAGACATTCAGCAGAATGAAAACTAATATTTTTTGCAAGGTAATGACGTCACCCAATGTAAGAGACAAGTTGGAAAATAACTCACTGAGAATGTAATTATCTTTTATGTAACCTGTTAAAGTCAGAAGTTCCATCTATTTTGGCAGGAAATGATTAAAAGATTAAAAGATCCTTTAATTCCCTCTTATATGTCAATTAAGGAATTCTTTTAAGGCACGAGAGCTAAATAGGATTCATCTTTAAGATGCAATAAAAGTTTGGGGAATAAATTATTGTATAGATTATAACCTATGACAGGTAGGTGCAACACAGAAAATCAAAAGGCGTCTTTAAAAGAAATTGCAGGTCCTGATAAATCTGATAAACCAGAGGCAGGATCTCTGCTTTACTGTATTTGCAGACGTGGACAATCTGCTGCAGGCCAGGATCCACAGCTGAGCCCGATACGTGTCCAATTCCTGCGGTCTGACCCGGATGTAAAGGACAGGATGGCCTCAGGTCTCTGGGCTTCATCCCCGCTAGCTTTAAACAAAGTTAGCTTGTTCGCGTGAGGTATTAGCAGGGAGCTAGCTGCTGTTAGCAGCTGACAAACAGCAGTCGCTCTGTGACGTGGCTTAAAAGCTATCGGTTAGCACAGAGGGAAAAGCCCTGATTTTTTTCCCTCCCCAGGAAAGCAGCCTACAGCCAGGCCATACCTTTGCTGTTACTTTGGGGCCTTTCTTCTTCTCGTCAGCCGATGAGCCATTGGGGAAACCCAGAAAAATCAGCGATCCCACAATGACCGTTACAGCTACAAACAACTTCATCCTTCTTTCACAGAACCTCACCATCAACAACGAAACAGGAGGAAAAGGCTTAGCCCCGGGGACAGCCTGCTGGTTGCTAGCTTTATATAAACTCCGTAGGAGGGACAGAGCGTGGGCTTATGGGCGGGGCCTGTGACCGCCGGCATCCAATAGGAGCTGTCTCATGGACGCAGGGGCGGGATTATAGTGTAGCACGGAGCTTTGATTGGATCACGTATTGTGATGGTAGCCAATCGGATGCAGACGCGTGACAACGTTTTTTGGTGATGTGCAGAAACATGAAGTGTTTATACAGCTATGAATATATATATTATATATTATATTGTGTGGAATTTTTGTGCAGTATGGTCATTTCATTTTTCTTTACAGATCCGACAGCCAGATAATCTAAAGCAATATTGTGCCTTGACAATTTTTAGTTAAGTTTATTTATATTGTATTAACATTTTTCTGCATTTAATTCAACAGTTTCATTACAAACACAACCTGGAGTCTCTTTTATTCTGCCTTATTTAATTGACTAACTACTATAAAATATTCAAAATAAAAAATAAGTCAAAGAGAGGTAGTTTTCTGTACATTTAGCCCCTTAAATCAATGAACCACCTTTGTGTGAAAATACAGCTGCAAAACTGATCTTCAACAGGTTTTCTTTATTTTTTATTAATCAATCAACTCTGACCAGCAAACCCCCCCCAAACACTCACATAGATGAGAATAATCCCCTACAGCATCAAGCTGCCACCTCTATTGTATATATATATATATATATTCATTCTTTTTAGTGATGGGGTTTACCGTAATTGATTTCCATTTAGGTCAAAAAAGCTCTCATCTCCTGTTCTCCATGTTACCTACCTCCTTTAAGTGCCATGTCGTACAGTAAAATCAGGAATTTATCTTTTTATTTTCACTCTTCTCTAAACAGATTTGAGGAGTGCCGACTCAATGACCCTAAATATATAACTTTATGAACAATCCAGATTCCAGACAAATCTGCAGCATTTACTTGATACGGCTTAGTATCAGACTTTCTTTTCTGATTGACCACTGCTATTTAAATCTAATGGAAACCAGAGCAGTAATAGTAGGTTGAACACCTAGTCTGTATTGTATTAATGATGACGTGATAAAAGAGAAAGTGCATCAGATAGAAAAATGAATGGTTCTATTAGTTTATAAATACCAGGTATAGAAATACTGCAACTTAGCTTATTATGTAGCACTGATAAAATGCAATAACTACAATTTAGGTGACATCTGGAAGTCTTAAGGTGTTGAATGCAATCAAGGGTCAAACCTTTTTAGAGAAAAACTTGTTTTGTTTTTCATTAGTGAATCACTCATAGCCGCCTGTGATTGTGAACAAAATGTGGGTATAAGTACTTTAGCAAGCCTGTATGGTTACTTAAAACTTGTCACATGTTATTAAAGGTCTTCTAACATTTAAACCTTGTTGGTTTTAAAAGACATAAATATCCATTATGTTAAAGAATCCAAACTACACATCTTCCTCCATCCAGAATTTTAATGAGACATAATGAGGGAACAGAACTTGTCACGATACAAACAGAACGCAAAGACAAAATGAGTAAAAGATGAATAAACTGTGCTTGAAACATGAAACAGGACAAACAGAAGGCTATGGTTCCCCTCCACAGGCTCACCAGCCACTTATCTTTACTAGTGCAAGGAATCACCTGTTCTGAACACAAATGCTGCGTCACCTTCTAGTCATAAGGCTGCATTAAGACTGATTATTGCATGCCTTCAGAGGCAATCTGAGGTAAACAGGAGGAGTGTTTGCTAATGGGAATAAACCCCAAAGCATTTGACATTAAGATTACAGCCTTTATGAGACGCTCATAAGTGAACCATCAAGTCAATTAGCTGGCATCAGAATATGATGTGAGATTCATCCTTTAAAGAAGAGCATGCTTCAGACAACATCTAAAATACCTTTGCTATATCTAAACGAATATCCTATTTATATATATATAAAAAAAAAAACTAAATATACCTTTTCCTTATGGAGGGAGTGTTTTGGTGCTTAAAGACAAAAAAGGGATCGTACACATTTTCCAGTTCAGGTTTTTAAGATTTGTCACATTCTAAACATTTGAGGACCAATGGTTCATCTTAGCATGTTTCATACACGAAACATCACATGCTAAACGTGGCTTTTACCTGATTCAGTCATAAAACCTGGTCTATAAAAATCTGGAATGGATTATCTGAATACATACCCTTTAATACATTTAATACCTATAATCTAATACTTTGATTTCCCCCTCAATTTAGTTAATAGAGCCAGGAACGGAAGCAAACATTTGCTCGTATGGAGCTGGAATATGAGAGCATATTTCTTACTTTTTCAGACCAAATAGGAAGAAAACAAAATGAATCCAGTTGAACAGACATGTTGAAATCATGTTTGATGTCCAGAGTTGGAGGAACTTTCAAGTTAATATTAGACATGAAGACACCAGCAGAACTTCTAGAAAGGGAATTTGATTCTATCACACAGCACCTATGTCAACAGGGACTAATCTGAAGTTTTCCTACAAAAGACAATTTAATAACATTTCAGGTTCTTGTAGAAGGCACAGCATTCTGAAGATATGCAGGTTAGAGTAAAGTAGCTGTGAAGGTCAAACTCTTTGGAGTTTAGGAAGGTGCAGAGAGTCCAGCTGCATCGCGGTCTCACAGATCCAGTTTGGCGAGGGGCAGAGTCTGATCACTTGGGGGGTCACTGAAATATTACATCTTTGGGATGAAGGAACCTGAATCTGGAGACTGGCTCAGAGACGAGCAGAGCTGCAGGTCAGAGTTTCAGTTCTTTTCTCAGAAAGGCTGCTGGGTCTTTATTTCTGAGTAAACTAGTCCCTCAGCAGAGATGGCGTCCCCGAGCCCCACTGTCCGAAGGGGTCTTTTGCAGACCAGTACCGGGCTGAGGTGGAAGGTGATGTTCCCCCTGCGCCACATGGTGACGGGCTCCTCTGGCCTCAGGGACAGCTGCTCTCTGGGCTCAAAGTGAGAGCTGTGAAACTCCAGCGGGGCCTTCAGCTCCACTTTGCTAACGTCCACAGCCTGGAGGCCGCAGGCCTGACTGCTGGCCACCCGGGCCCCCGCCATCACAGCTGCAGCCTGGTTGCCCCAGTAACCCTCCACCGTCGCTAAAACGTGGTAGGCCAGCGTGTGGAAGTGGATGCGAGTGAGCTCAGATTCTGAGGATGGGTCGGTGCGGCCGTGCTGCTCCAGGATCCAGAAGAGAATGTCGCCAACGCGCCCGACGTCAGGGATGCCTTTCCACGCAGGCAGAGCGGCGTGAGGGCCGCCCCCCGCCTGAGAGAGGAAGAGTAGCTCCTGCTCGTTCAGTCCGATGGAGCTGACGATGGGCAAGACCTGCTAACAGGAAGAGAGGCTTTAATTAAATGTGGAGCCCTGGTCAGGGATCTGCACTGATCTGCTCTGGGAGGCAGAATCCTTCATGGCTGCAGACGTTAGCATTTTACCTCCTGCATGATCCGGTTCATGAAGTCTGTATCCGTCATGCTGGCCAGCTCCAGGTGGATAGGAATGTCCTTAGGAATGTCACCTATGGCGGCTACAGCCTAAAACAAACATCCAGACAGTTTGAAATATAAAATTCAAAGAGTGATTAATTCCTTGTATTTTTCTGTTGTCATGGCAGCCATTAAAAGACTCTGATGAGAGCAGCTTTGAGCCTCCTGACCTCTTTCAGTCTCTCCCCCCACAGCTCTCTGCCCTGCCCCTCCATCATGTGGAACCCCGACAGGACGACTAGCTCTGGCTGGAACTCCTCCAGGCTCGCCACGAACGTCTCCAACGTGCTCATCTCCCCATTGGATACATCATGAGAGAAGATGAAGCGGTTGGCCTGTGGCGCCTGAGTGGAAGCCCACGTTTCCCCTGAAGGGAAGAAACAAGGAAATAATAATAATAAATCTGATATTCTTATTTTTTAATTGCCATTTCTTGTTGTTGAAAATAAGATATTTTGCAGATATATTTTTCATACATACGTCGTTTAGATTCCCTTTGATAGAATAAAAAAGAAAATCCCTTTATTGTCCCAGAATGGGAAAATTCTGGTGTTTATAGCAGCATAAAGATTATAGAAAAAATTGGTCACACAAATGTGGACCTCAGAAAAATGTATAAGAATAACATAATAGTGAAGAGTTAAAAGATAAACAATAAAATACTGTAAAGTGTTTTAACAATATCAAACTGTGCACCTGGAGAATAAATAACCAATATGCAGCTATGGATATTTTTACAGGAATGGATATTTGAAAATAGCAGCAACATCAGGGATGTGCAGAATGACAGCAGCAGGTTATTCAACTGACTAAGGTTTCCATCATTACATTTGATATGATTTGTTCCTGCTCCCGGTGGTTGGAACCTTTATTCCACTCTGGATTCTCATGAGTGTAGATTTTGTTCACTTTACAATAAAAAAAATTAAAATAAAAAATAAAAAGTTTTGAAAAGTGTGGTATTCCCTCTTTTCCTACTTTGCGTGTTAACTGTCACGGTTGCTAAGCGACAGAGCGTACAGCAGAGAAAGCCCCGGAAGGCTAAACCTGTTTGAATCCAGAGCAAAAACTCTTCTGGTCTCATTTTCACAGACTTGAAGGATCCAGACCAGGTAGAGCGCATCCATTGTGTTCGTATTTTTGAATCCCTTTACCTGCTTTATATTCCAGGATGAGGTGGAACTCGTCCGTTTCCTGAAGAGATTCTGGAGGAACCACAATCTGCTCATCCAGCATCTCGTGGAGTTTTGGACCAACTGGCCCACACAACAAAACCTGTTTCATTTAAAAAATAAATGAAAAAGAAAATATGAACAATGAATTACTTTGATAAGACAGCGGTTAAAAGGCTTATTCTTTTTCTGTTATTTGAAAATATTTGTTGTTTTTTTTGCTGCAAAATGTGCTTTTTGGATCCATTAATGTGGGATGAAATTTGTTTCATCATTATTGCAAGCAGAGAACATGTCTAATAGATGAAAACCTGAAAAACAAAAATACAATCCACAAAATGTCAATGAATAAATTTGCTTTCTTAGTTTTCCCCTTTTTTTTTTAATTATACATTTTCAAATTATTATTTTTTTTCCCAGCCTGAGGTTTATAAACTCTTCCCTTGCGGACATTTAGACACAGTCAAGGTCATTTGTAAAACGTCATTTTGAAAGAATACAATCGTTAGTCTGACCATGGTTACTGAGGCCAGGCAAACCTGGATTAATCAGTTCATCCAGAAGAAAAAGAAAGGAAACAAAAAAGCTGCCTTAAGTCCAGGAAATAGAGTATTGCATGAAAGCCATTCATAAAACTCTATTTAAATGGGAGGAAAAAAATGAAAATTTAAAAACAATTTGGAAAGAAAATATATTTACACATCTCTAAAATATATATATATTTGTTTATTAAATCTATGTACAGTGCCTGAGTGTATTGGCACCCTTCAAATTCCATCAGATAATTCTCAATTCCTCCCAAAAAAATGGTTGCAATCACAAATGCTTAGACAATAAGATCTTCATTTTTTTTGCTTGCAATGAAAAACACACACACACACACACAAAAAAAATCTATTATTTCAAAAATCTAAAAATGGGCTGGACAAAAGTATTGGCACCCTCAACCTTATACTTGGTAGCACAACCTTCAACCTTCAGGCAAAATAATTGATCAACCACTTCCACCAACCAATCATTGAGTTTCTTACAATGCTCTGCGGGAATTTTAGATTCTTCTTTGACAAAATGCTGCAGGTCCCTGAGATCTGAAGGGTGCTTTCTCCTAACTGCCGCTTTGAGATCTCCTCACAGGCGTTTTATGGGGTTCAGGTCTGGATCATTGCTGGCCACTTTCCAAGTCTCCAGAGCTTTCTCTCCAACCATTTTCTGGTGCTGTTTGAAATGTGTTTTTGTCATTGTTCTGCTGGAAGACTCTTGCCCTCTGAAGGAGACCCAGCCTCCTCACACTAGGCTGCAATATTTGTTGGTATTTGTTGGTAGTCTTCAGACTTCATAGTGCCATGCATATGGTGAAGCAGTCTGCTGCCAGAGCCAGCAAAGCCGCCATATTTGACTGTAGGGACTGTTTTTTTCTTGTAAACTATGTTAATCCCTTTTACCAGAAAGTTCTACTTTTGTCTAATCTGACCAGGGAACATACTTCCAAAACGTTGGCTTTCTCAGGTAAGTTGCAGCTTTTTTTATGTCACTGGGTCAGAAGTGGGCTCCTTCTGGGTATCCTACCATTCAAGTACAGGTTGACAATTGAACTTGTGTGGATTGTTAGTCAAGGTTCTTTATCCACCATCTGCACAATCTGTCATTTAAACTGCTTGTCAAATGTTCTCTTCCGTCTAGCATCTAGGGAGGGTAGCCACAGTGCCATCTGCATTAAACTTTGACACTGAGCTTGGTAGACACGGAACATTCAAGTCTCTGCAGATGGACTTGTAGGGTTGAGACTTTTCCAGGCTTCCTCAAGTCCTGGGAAAGTTCTTGGTCTTTCTGTTCTCCATGCTCAATGTGGGAACCACAAGAGATGAGTCAGCTTTAATCCATTTTAATTTTCTGCAAGTGTGACTTTGCTATTGCCACTACCTGTCATGTGCCACAGGTAACAGGTGCCACTGATTACAAAAGCATCACATGACCTTTCAAAGGGTACCAATACTGTTTTTTACCCTCTTTATGTTTGGCTTGGAATTGTCTTTTTGGCTATTCTGTCTTTATTGCAAGCAAAAGAAAAGGAAGATATTAATACCACAGTATTTTTAATTGCAATCATATTCTGGGAGGAGTTGAGCGTGATCTGACAGAATTGCAGAGGTACCAATAAAATTGGCCAGCAGTGTATATAGATGTAAACATAAGAAAACGGCAAAAATGTTTCCCAAAACCTTTTTTGATTAAGACGTTCAAGTTTCATTTATGGATTGCATTTTCTATTTAAAAAAAACATGTTTTTGCTTTTAATTCTCTCTCCCCCCCAACAAAAACGAACACAATTCACTCCATACATTAATGAAAAATTAGAGGAATAAAGCTACATTTAAAATCTTAGATCCATCTTTGCTTTAGTACCATTAAATCTGGGTAGGTGGCGAATTTCTGACCAATAAGGGCAGCGTTTCCTCCAACATAGAGCTGAAAGAAAAAAAAAAAAGAGAAAAAAGTCACATTTCTTCCCAGAAATTATTAAAGGACTCCATGACAGCCCAAGCGGCTGCAGAGTGAGACCTCCTTGCCTTTGCCCCAGGGTACTCTGCGGCTGCACGGGCGATCCTCTGAAACGCCTCCTTGTCGCTGAAGAAACGTTCCGCCGCTGCTCCACGCTCCATGAAGTGAATGAAGGTTTCCTTCAGGTCCTCCTTGGAGTGCAGGATTTCATGATCGCGGCCGGTGCCAGGGTCCACAGCCAGAGCCTGCAGCAGCCCCACGCCGGAGACCACCACATCCACACAGGCATTCACCCTGAACGACCAAAGGATCATTTTAGACTGAAAAATCATGAACACACTGAAGAATATGATCTTTATGTTTTTAAAATGGAAAAAAAATAAATAAACGGCTCAATCTGAACTGATGTTGGTGACAATAAAGCTGATAACGTTTATTAGGAGCAAGAGAATAAAAGCCATAAAACAATAAATGAAAATAAAACAACACATCTGAAGGATTTATGTTCTGTCCTAAATGTTACTCAGAGACGGAGCTAAGGTGGATTCTTACCCCGTTTAACACGACTGCTCAAAGCTACAAACGCCTTTACCGACAAACTTTATTAAAAATACAGGAAGAATGTATTGATGTATTATCAAGTATTTATACTAAGGAGAAAATAACGGCATCAATAACACTGGAGATTGAAAAATTTTATGATCTCTGCAAGAGTTGGGGACAATATCTAAAACGGCACAAACCAGACTTGGTATGAAGCATGTGAGCTGCTGGGAAGGAAAGGTAATTCTGTGGAGGTATTCAGTTCAATTCAGTTTATTTTTATAGCCCCATTTACACTACCCTTGAAAAACCGATCCAGGCCCAGACCGGTCCGAGCTTGGGTCGGTAACCAGGCCAAGCTCAGTTTTGACGACCGTTCACACGTCACACTTATCTCGGTTATCTCGACTCCTCAACTCCTCGCCTCCTAGTGACGATGTGCGGTATTACTGCTAGGATTGAAGGAGGGACTCAAGCAGCTGGTGGCGGTAATGCACCAAACGCTGTTTGTCAACTGCCGTAAAACCCAAGAAGAAGAAGACGAAGGAGGAGGGAATCAAGCAAATCAAAATGGCGGTGCCCGTCACATTCAGAAAGTTATGCTTGATTATTATTGCTGTACTTCCGTGTTTGCGGTGGGTCAGGCGAAGACGGCAACCTTGCGCGGATGTACTTGAATGGAGTGTGAATCGGCATGTTCAGCCAGTCGGCGATGACGCGTTCTGCTCATGCGCTCTTGTTATCAGAGAACCGAGCCAGGAAAAAACCGAGCCGAACCCACCTCGGGAACTGGTCTGCAGTTAGCGCGGTCCGGTTATGTCTATCTCGGTTCAGTTCAGGTTGTTTCCGTTCACACACGACAAGTTATCTCAGTTACTGAGCTCGGACCGGTCTCGGCTCAGTTTTTTAAGGGTAGTGTAAACGGGGTATAAAGCTCCAATTTACAACACAAGTCAAGACAAGACACTTTACAGTTCACCAGATCATCCAGTCTGATTGATTCAAAGTTTTCTATCTAGAGAAAACCAGCTGATTGCATCGACTCATTGACTCTTCAGCAATCCCTCACACTAAGCATGCTTGTAGCGACAGCGGAGAGGAAAAACTTCCTTTTAACAGGAGGAAACCTCAGAACCAGGCTCAGTGTGAGCGGCCATCTGCTGAGGCCGACTGGGGTTCAAGGAGACAGAAGCGGACGGGGCCGCCTTTGCCTTTTGTATCTCACAAAAGGCAAAGGCGGCCCCGTCCAGGAAACACACAGCCAGGCAGACGAGCTCCGAGCCAGCTCCCATGCCAGGATGAAGGGAGCACATCCAGTTAGTCAGACAAACAGGACTACACTGAAAAACAGGCCGATTTCGAACATCTATAGACAATGAGGATGATAATTAGTGAAATAAGCAATAAAACTATAAAGTGAATGTATAACTCACCTTGGTTTGATGCTTACTGTTCATTGATTATTTAATTTTTAAAAAATCTTTGGTTACTTCTCGGATTGCATCATTTCTCCGTAAAACAAGTACGTTGGTCACCATATGAGCATGTGTATCTAAGGAGAACTTGGACCAATGTCTCTCAGGTAGTAGTATGCATCTGTGACTTGTATGATTTATATTGTGAAGAAGGCAATAAAATAAAAATAAAAGACAGAAAAAAAATACAATCTGAACCAGAAGACGTTCCACCTTCAGGCTCAAACATCTGAAGCATAGATTCAGGCCTTCGTCCGTCACCAATACCACTAAATCTGTACTGAGATCTGAGCAGAAGCCGACTCAAAATCCACTGTTTTCAGCAGATTAACGTAAGAGGGAAAACAATGGCTTCCAGTAACTCACCCTACTGCCACTTTGCTCCACTGCCTGCTGGGTAAAGTGATCAGAGCCTCCCAGGCAGCAGAGATGGTCTGTTCCAGGCCGGCGTGGCTCTGCGACGACGACAGGAAGCCCGGCAGGCCGACGTACTGAAGGATCTGCTCTGGCAGATCTGGCCTGCCACTGTAGAAATAGCCGACAGCCAGAGCCAGCAGCAGCGCTGCCGAAGCTTTCCTCCACATGCTGCTTCCACACGTCTGCCACAAGAAATAAAACAGGTGACAAAAAAGGTAAATCAAGTTTGTCCTGATAAACTAAAAATAAGAGTTTTCCTTTTAATTATTGGATAGTTGATTTAAAATTGCAATTTAAAAATAATTATACAGATACAGGTTCTGATAGTGATGATAACTAAAAACAGCAGCAGGCATAAATAATGTAAATGTTAAGTAAAAGCTACATGTGGTAACAGGGTGTGTATTCAGTCTAGGGCTGAAACAATTCATCAGATTTATGGTGATTAATCAAATATTGAATCCAAACATTAGTTGCAGCCCTCATCCAGTCCTGCTGAAGAACTTCACAGAACCACCTTAAATCAGGAATGTCAGTATTATGATTCAGGACCATCGAATAACTACCTATCTGCAGGTATACGCCCAATGCATTTGTTCTCACCTTTGGAAAATAGCTTAAAAGCTACACAGTCACATAATTTAACATTTTTAAATATATCAATCAGTTTCTCTGTTGCAGATGTTTAGCTAAAAAAATAAGGTGTCCTGCTTTGTGTATTTGCTAGTTTGGTCTTTTAAGCTTTCTTTTTGCTGAATTTGTTATTTAATATGGCCTTTCTGTGTAGATTTACCATAACGCCGTCTGACCAGCATATGGAGGCGAGCGAGTGTGAACGTCCCAGAAAAGGTGCAAAAAATTCAAAAGAAGATGCTCAGAGTTAAAGTGTAAAAGGAGGAAGAAGATGTTTGATTCCAAGAGCGAAATAAATTGAGTTAAGCTGGAAAACAGTCTGGTGTTCAATAAAGCTGTAGCTGAAACTCAGGAAGCCTTCTGATGTCTCTGTGATGTTGATAGACATGCCAGTTCTGCTAATAGTGCTACTGGTGTTAGCAATGCTTTAAAGGAAACACACCACTCACACCACCAGTGGCACCTAAAACAGTCATTCATCTAGAGTGCAGAATAGAGGAAAATGCACTTTCTGAACACTGTGTGATTGAAAAATTCTGTGTGCTTTTCAGGTGCCGCTGCAGAGAATACAGCATTTATTTTTGTTTTTTTAACTGGTTTGGATTGTGTCACTGTTATGTGTTTAAAGCATAGCCAAGGAAAGAACGTTTATGTTAATTTTGCTTTTTTAAAATCAAGCTTGCTTTATATTGTGCACAGCATACAACCTCAATATATTGTTCTTATTGTTTATTGTATTTATTTTATTTCTGATCAATTTTGGGGTCTTTGTTTTTATCCTTGTGGTATCGAAAATGGTATCAAGTATCGAATATTTTCCTGAGTATCGGTATTGAGTTTAAAAATGTTAGTATCGTGACAACCCTAGTCACAATGGCTATTATCCAAGTCATCTTGAAAACATTCTTCTTCCAAATGTTGGCTACATATTACGTGTTTTTTCTCTGGTCAGAAGTTCGATGGCAAATCCTCCCCTTTCAAGTTGGCGATCCAACGACCAACCCGTCCGTGGAGGATCAGGAATCAGAAAGGTGGAATAACTTTTGTTTTTCACTTTTACCCGATGTATTCCAACATCCAGCTGCCATGCACGTGGGCATTGTCAGTTTCACTATAGCTCTGGTGAATTTCAATGGTGAAGTCCTCTGGAAATCTTCAATAATTGTTGTTGATTGCAGATGTGTCTAGTAGTTCCCATTGATTAAGCTTGTAAAGCGGGGAGAATGGCGCTAGGCTTACCGCACCGTGACATCACTGCTGGAAGATGGCAGGAGGGAGGGGTTATTATATTTGGGCAAAAATGGCCGCTCCCAGACTCAGTGATCCTGACGAAAATAATTTTTATTATTTTACTGATTAACGCTAAATTGATTAAATCAACATAAACATTAGTTTTAGGTATAATTAATGATCCATTGATTATTCCTCGCTGACCTGTCCTATGCTCTCACAGATCAGGACTTATTCGGACGCCATCTGGTTTCCAGGTAGTTCTGCTGTAGAACCAGTAGATGGCGCGACCTCTGTTTACATCAGCTCACAGTGTCCAATGATGAGCTTCTATTTAGGCTCAAAAAGGAGGATCACAACACTGTCAGATCAGATACTTGGAGAAAATAGCCTGATTTTAGCAAAACCAACTGGATTTTGGTCTTTTTGGTACAGGAATACCAGGACTATGTAGCTTAGATTGGATCTTCCACAATAGATCCGCCCACCTGAGCTGTAGATCTCTGCAGCTCATCCAGAGTCCCCTGGTTAATGCTGTTTGTTTACTAATGTTCTCCATAGTCATGTAAGGAGTGTAAAACATATTTGATTTATAAAGCAACGTCAGTTTGCACTGGGTTTTACTAAAGGATGTTGGAGAAAAGTGGATTGAGGAAGATTTTCTTTTTGTCGTTTCTCCTTTAAGGAAATGGCTGAAATGATGCACTATTTTCCCTTTACTTGGTAACAGAGCCTTCAGAAAATCCATCAAATCAATCAGCCTGATACAATGAGTTCAACACTAAGTGTTTATTAGCAGGGACTCATTTTATTAGTAGCAAAGTTCAAACCTGAAGTGGGAAAGCTAGTTTCTACAGATCAGTAATGAACGAAAACAGATTTCCATGGAGTCTGAAGGAAACAAACATCTCTGTATGATGGAGTCTATAGGATGGAAACCCAGCACAATGAAGGAATATATATGCCCAGATTAAAAGCTGGTTTAAATTGAGCCTCCAACTCCTCAGGGGACGATTAGCTCCGATTACAGGAAGTTCAATGTGCAGAGCCTTTGCTTACTTGCAGTTCCAGTGGGTTCCCATGAAATGAACCCCGACAGGAACAGAGCTGTTCAGGCAGCAGGTCTGTCCACAACATAAGGAAGCAGAACCCCAGCAGGGCGGTAAAAGTTACAGCTAACAGGCTAGCTGGAACTCACCGAGCAAACCTGACAGCAGCGAGCGCATTACGGCAGATTAACCCAGTTAAAAGACACAATTTAGCAACAAAACAAACAATCTGCTTATCAGTCCGAGCTGCATGTAACAATGGAGAGTAAAGCTTTAGTAAAGGAAGCGGAACGTACCGGGCAGGCTGTTAGCCGGGAAGAGGGTCCAGTTTCCTGGTTGAATCACAGGAAGAGCATTCAGTGGGCTTAATGTGGCGGTTAAAGATCCTGGAGAGAAGTTTAGAGGCGACGCGTTTCATTGAAGACGTTTAACTGGGAGTGACAGGAGCGGCTTAAGGCAGCCAGCACTCCAACCAGCAGCCCGACACGCGGCGCGCATGCGCAGAAAGACCTTGGACGGTAAATGATGCGTTCGCTGACAGTTAGAAATGTCAGGAAAATTGAAGCGCCCAGCTTCAGTGGCGGTTCCAGAAAATCTCCATCAGGGTGGCCAGAGAGGCACCAATGTGCATCGAGGGGCTGAAAAGTAAAAGGGGTCAAAAGCCTTTTATGGTTCTTTTGTACTTACAGGAAAATTGAAGAACATTTATATTTTCCAAATGAAATGCAGATAGACCAGCTTTTCATGAGACCCTCGCTAATAAAGCTATACACATATTTATAAACTGATGCTGTTTAGATCCACTCATCGTTCAACATCTACTTATGTGGTTGACCAGTTATTTATCTTTAATTAAATCAAAGACTCCTAAACAGGCATTTCTAAAGTGGGTCCTCGAGGGCCGATGTCCTGCAGCTTTTTGAGGTTTCTCTGCTTTTAGCACAGCTGACTGTGCTGGAGCAGGGAAACCTCTAAAACCTGCTGGAAGGCGGCCCTCAAGGACCCACTTTAGGGATGCCTGCTCCTAAATAACTTCAGAGACAAACTCACACTTATAAAACCTAAAAACTAATTTGTAAAAAGAGTATTCTGTATGAGTAGCATATTTTCCCTAATTGTTGTATTTTTGTCATTTTTTGGTTAATTAACTAACTATAATATTAAAGTAGAACATTTCACTTGATGCAATCAGTACTGCCCCCCTCTGGTTTATAGAAGAACTGCTGTTACAGAGACGCCAAATTAGACCTCTGCCAACTTTATTTATTGTAATGAAAAGTCCTATTTATCTACATACATACATCATAAAAAACATTGCCTCGGCTTGACTCTATGATTATAACTACATGCATTCTATACTGTTTGTAAAAAATGAATGTCAGTAATTAGACTTGAACACAAGATTAGGCAAATCTACTGAATAGGACACTTTTCTCAAACAATGTATGTCAAAGAGGGCGAACGTGAAAAAAGGATCATTCTATAGGTACCAATGACTCATAATATTTAAGTTTCTAACAAAAAAAATTGTCATTTCATAAACCTCAGAAAACAGAAATCAAAAGTAAACAAAGACTGAAAGACAGAAAGCATTTGGTACAACTGTGGCCGTCCACAAAGAGAGCATTAACTAGAGAAGCCATTATGAGGTCCATAGGGGAAGAAATCCACAGCTCTAACAGGAGAATCCATCGACAACCTCTGGCCTTTATGGAAGAATTGGAAGAATGAAAGCACTAATAAAATAATTCAAAGGAAGTCTGAAAAACATGTAAATAAAAGTAAACATGTGAGGGTGTTGTGGTGTCACGTGAATGTTTGGCAACCACCATATGTGAGATGGAAAAAGGAAAAACTCTGCATGAACATGGTAAAACATAGTGGCAGCATTATGCTGTGGGAATCCAGGGGCAGGGAATCTGTTCAAAGTTTAGAGGAAGGAAGAGGATGCTAAACACTAGTGCCGAGTTCAAATTCAACAGCTGCATCCTCCGAGAGCGAGATTCATCGGCTGATTAGGGCAGAGAATTGGAATAGGACAAATGCAGCCTTTTTTTTCCCCCATTTTGAATGACAGGTCCAGTGTAACCTCCATTGCCTTGGGTATCCCATGATTCATTGCGGGTCCAAGCAAGCCTGCTGCTCCGTGCTTAGAGGAAAAAAGGAAATTGCACCTGAGAGTGGTGAATATTGTAAATGCAGTATAATATAATCCAAGTATGTGAATAGTTCCATCTAAAATTAATGAAAATTGTTGTTTTAAATGGTTATTGAGTCAGATATGTGGCAAGTAATGTTAGAAAGCTTTTATCTGTCCCTGTGCAAATGGGTTTAGCTGACATTTAAGCTCAGATTAAAATATGTCTGCCGTGTGGGGGACCATAAATATATTTGTGACGAGGTTACTGGTGCTGAAGCTCCTTGAAAATGTAATTAGCACACAGAGCAGTAGTGAGAAATTCAGTATCCATTCTTTGCCTGCTTTGTGCTTCAACTGTCACGGTTGCTAGGTGACAGAGCGTACAGGCGATGTAAGCTGGAGAAGGCTGGACCTGTTTAAATCCAAAGTCAAAACTCTTTCAGCCTCCTTATTTTTAACGGACCTCCAAGGACCCGGTCCAGGTAGACCTGGGGCCTGTTTCAATAAGGAAGTTCA